AATAGAGCCTTTTCACGGCTAGATTTAATAAGCAGCCTGACTTATTTCTTGATCTGTAAAATGGGCCAGAATATTACATCACAGAACATTATTTTCCTTGTTTCTGCCTTGCCTCAACCAGCTACTGCTTGCTTTTAGTTCTGTCTGCTCCACTTCCACACCCTCAAAGATCAAAAAAAAGTATTCTTCAGGGACATGATGTAATATTTCTTTCCAGCCTAAAAATGCTTTCCTGCTAAATCCAATACTACATAACTGAGACCTGTGCAAATACCAAGGTCCTAGCCCCACACTTCACATCTCCTTAGCCGCCTCTCTTGGATCCAGCCTCACCTCCTTCCAACCCTGGGGTATCTGCTAACTTACAGGGCAGAGCAAGGGACATGGGCCAGCTTGGCACAGAATCAAGTCAAAGTTTTGATCCTGTCTTTCCCAATCAACAGTCAGGAGGGATCAGGCTTTGGGTCAAGGTGATTTCTGGCCATCAATATCAGGCTAACCAATAAATCCATGTACAGGGCAGCCCAGGCTGGCAATGAAGACATATTCAAACCTTTAACCTCAGTCCTTCAGAAGGCAACATTTCTAATACAAGGGCCACCTCTTCTAGGAAGTCTTACCTTATTCCACTACTAGCAATTACTCTTAATCTGTTGTCCCATACTGTCATGTTTGTACTTACAGTCCTTAAGAAGCCCTTACCTCCTCCTGCCTTGCACATATCTGTCTCCCTACTTAACCGCTAGATCCTTAGGGCACAAACTTCACCTTATTCATTGCTGCACCACCCATGTTTCCAAGCACAGAGACTTGCTCACTGTATTTATTGCACTGAGCTGAATGACCCTTATAAATCCCAGTGAAGGATAGAGGAGGTGGCAGCAGGGCTCAGGAAATAATTAATCACGAATTGATCAACATTTTTCCTCTCCATTCCCCGCTTTAAACCAGCTGTGGTTGGTCCTGCCCCAGCCTGGCCTGCCAGGAAGCCTCCTAAGAATGTGACTTCTTCTGTCTCCCTCCTGGAGAGACTGGATGGGTCATATTTTAGGAGAGTACAAGTGGAGCCCAGAGACCAACCGAGAGGGATGGATCAAATCACACAGCCTCCTCTTGGCCATCCCGGAGAACTCAGGCAAGGACGAGGACATCTGCCTTGCAATAGGAGGAGGGAAAGCCAATTCCTGTGATGCCAGGCTTCTGGATGGGATCTCCACGGGAGAGGCTAGAGAAGGCTGAAAATCTAAGACAGTAGAGATGTGTGCCAAGGTGGGGGCACAGTGCCATGCTTGCTGTCCACAGATAATGCTCAAAGGCTCTTAAGAAGGTATGACCCTGTAGACATCACTCTCAGGTCATTTTGGAAGTGTTCATATCTCAAGGCTTCAAGACAGGACATTTCTAAGAGAACTCCAAAACTGACACATGGACTGGTTTCATGCCCAGAGCCTGAGCTTTAAGAGATGGGAATGAGTGAGAGCCATTTACCCTTATCCATACTGTAATCCTGACTTGGTGTGGTGAATGCTGCCCATGCATGATCCCCTTGGTGAGCTCCTCGAGTCAACGGGCTGCAATCACCCTGAGCCTAGTAGACTTCTGGACCCTCATGCTGTCATAGGCAGGCAGTGGCAGATGCTTAAAAATAAACTTTTTGTATATCAACTTAGCAGAATACAGCTAGGAGCTAAATCAAACTCAGATGTTTAAAGCCTGCTTTGTCTCATTCATGTCAAAACCTCCAAGCTAAGAAAATCAGCCTATGAGCAAACATTAACTTTAGCAAAAAGACAGGTCATGGTCCTAAGTAATACTAGATTACACCTGTATAAATCCAAAAGGCCCCAGGCCCCCAGATTCCCCAGAAAATAAAGGCTTTCTTCCCCTGGGATGCTGGGGTGTTAACTCAGAGCAATGCAGGCAGAAATCTACTCCCCCGGCTGCAAGGACCCTCATATGATTCCCAAGGGACTTAGAAGAGCCATTTCCTGCCAGCTAAGACATCATGTCCCCCATTGTCTTAATCACATACCTCTTTTCTGCCAGGGCACAAGTGCTGCTGGCTGGAAGTTCCCAGAAGAATTTGCTGTGAGTGAGTCCCTGCTGGATACCTCCCTGTGGAACTTTCCAGGCAACTCTTACACACACACACACACACACACACACACACTCACTCACTCACTCACCCACCCTAAGCTCGGGCCTGGAGGTTTCTAAAGCAAGTGTGCAGAGTCCTATTGGGCTAGAAGAGATGCATCAGCTGTCTCACAGTGCAGCCTACTGGGCATGCCTGAAGGTGCAGCAGAAGGCAAGGGCAAGGGGTGCAGAAAGGGGTGGCTTGCCTCCCCTCTGTCCACTTCCAGCACTTGGAAAGGAACCTCTAACCTCAAATCTCAAGTTCAGGCTTGAGGTCCTGCAGAAGGAGAAGGATAGCTAGTCCTGGGGCTTTCAAAATGCAAAAGGATCCCCCACACTGCTGAGCTCTCCGTGCTTTAGAATGTTCCAAAGGACCATTCACAGGGAGGAGCGCAGGGCTCCACGGGAGGAACGGAAACTCATTGCTAAAAATGAGGAGCCGAGCGCCCAAGGAAATAGGCGGGCAACATCTCTGTCGGGCCTTCGTGTGAATTATACTCAACTTGTATCAGACTCCCCATCTTTCAACACAGACCATATGGGTGCAATTTCTACATGAGATACAAAAAGGGTTCAATTTACATTAAGAAATAATAACGAACAGCCCCGTGAAAGTGCAGAGCCAATGATGGCGTGGGGACGGCACCCGCGGGCAGCCCTAACCGGTGGTGGCGGGAAAGACTGAGAAGAAGAGGAATAAGAGAGACATGAAGAAGCACCCACTGGGCGCGGGGGTCAGACTGGGGAGTGGGAAGTGAGAGAGAGGGCAGGTGAGGAAGAGGAAGGAGGAGGTAACTTTGGCAAAGCAAAACGAGCCATTCAGAAGGGAGTGTGAAATGGGTTCAGGGTGGCACCTGCTGAGTGTGGGTGGCCGCCACCCCCCTACCCCGGTTTTCTCTTCACAAGCCCTCCAGCTGCCTTTTCTTGGCGTCCCTGTCTCTGCTTGCCCATCTATGTCCCCTAACACCCCTAGCCCTATACCACTGGGTAGACAACATCCCCTCACTCCCCACAGAGACTACCCAGTGTCTCCCTCCAGTCAGTGTCTGAGAGGTGCCTGAGGCCACAGCCTTCTCCCTTCCCAGCCAAGCCACTGGCCTAGCCCAGGGCCTGTGGGAGCTCTTTAGACATCTGATCTGTGAGGAGCAGTAGACAAGCTCCAGCTCCACAGCACACCGTGCCCCGTCTAGACAGATTTGAGCTCTCCGTGCTCAGCAACTGCCAAACCCCCTGAGCAAAGCTCTGCTCCAAAGGCAATTCTTCCCCTGCAGGTGAGGCTGCTTTGGTGGCCAAAAGTGAGTACATATTGGAGCCATTTCCCACTCAGCTGGCGGCCAGTCACCTGAAGTCTCTGGAGAAAAGATAAGGCTCTCTGGTAGGGAGAATTTTTAATTTTTTTAATCGTATTTTTTTTAAAAATGAGTGAGCAGTTGGAGAAAACAGGCGACAGAGTGGGTGGCCACTTGAGATGCAGAGAGGAAGATCAAAGCCCACCAAGAATGGAGGAAGCAGCCTTGGTGTGGCCCAGAGAACAGTCTAGGTGGCCCGTGCCTCATAAAAAGCAGCCGGAGACTGGGAGGTGCTGGGTGAGGGAGACTTGGTCACAGGCACCCAGTGGCCCTGTTCCCCGACCCAAGCCCTTTGGTTAACGGTCTTCAGCTGGAACAAACACCTGTTGTCAAGAGACGCCCAAGGGAGACGCCCTGGAAGGGCCCTCAGTTCACTGTGTGGGAGGTGAACCTGCCCAGACTGTGGCCCCGAGGCTGACTTCTTCCAAGAAGGAGCTGGAATTCCTCCCTCTGGACTCAGTCCTTCTGGCTGCTGCCCCCTCACAGTCCCGGCCCAGGGCAATCAGCCAGGAACACTCTCTTGTGTTTGCCTGCTGATTAATTAGTTCATTAGAAGAGCCACAGGTGACTGTGTGGCAGTGAAACCATTATTTCATTCATGGGGCCGAACGTCCTCTTCGCTACCAAATTTCCTCACAGATCCCTCCAGTTGGCCTTCCAATTCAGGACAACTAGGATCTGGAAGACCAAAGCGGGACTGTGACTTGCCCAAAGAAACAAGAGCCCCTAGTGACTGGGCCTGGACGAGAACTCAGTCTCCAGACTCTCACCCAGTGCTTTCCCACTTCACAGTGCTGCCTCCCAACATCCCAGCTGGGAAAGAGGCTGGGTTCTAAGAGCTCATTGATTTTCTGGAGATTTCAACCCATTTGACACTAGTCAGACTTGCTGTCTTCTAGTAAGTTCTTTAAAAGAACTCTTCACCAATGTTCTGTAAGAGCTGGGTCAATTCTCAAGGCAACAGGACATCGTTTTAGTGGCAGCGCTGGAGGAAGGGATTCCAGGACCCAGTCTCTCCTCCCTTCTAATTTGGAGAAGCCATAAAAGCCCACATTCACTCTCAAGCCAACTCGCTTATTCTTCATATGATTTGCAAGGTCTTCCTTTCCCTTGGTCAACACCATGGCTACTTGGGCATAATCTAAGGATCCGCTTCACCCAGATCCTTCTCTAGAACAAATCTGAAGGAAAAGAATAAGAGATAAAACTTGATTTATCTTGATTCCCCCCAACAAGAGGGCAGGCAGTGAAAGAGAGACCAACGTGCTGAACACTCCAAGAGGAAAGTCAGAGCATGTCAATCTACATCAGCTGCTGCCACTCACAGCCTCCCTTCTCCTCCCTGTCCCTGAGCTGTTTCCCCATCCATAAAAAACAGAGCGGGGGGATAATACAACCTAGAAATGCATATCCCTCTGCTCGGCCAATGGTCTTCTAGGAGCCAAGAGGGTTGACAGATATCTTTTGTGATTTCCATCTCTGGAGTCCTCCCAAGAGTCCCCACCCACGACTCACCTGATGAGGTCGATGGGTTGAAACTTATAAAACACTCCGTAGCGTGCCCATTCTTGATACAGCAGCTAAACAAGAAAAATGGAAATAGATTAGAGGTCGGGGGTACAACTGTTTACCTATTTTGTCCACCCTAGCAGATCAAGATTTTATCTCGAACATCTTTTTAATGACTTCATTTGGATGACTAGCAAATCAAAATTGAATCCTAAAAAGTCCAGCTTCTAGGAAAATTCTCATGAGACATCCGCAAAAAAAAAAAGATGTCCAAAGGCTACAGAAGCTGACCTCTTCCCCAGATAATAAAGATGACCTTTATCACACTCTGGGGCAGTGTTACACCTAGCAAACACAACCCCTCCTTCTATATTCTCTTGTCTTGTTTAGTCCAGCGAAGCGAGACCTCACATTCATTTATTCACTCATTTGACGAGTATTTATTGAACATCTACTATGTGCCAGGCACTGTCCAGACTCTGGATACAGCAGTAAACCAAACAAAGTTGCTGCTGTCAAGGAGCTTACATTACACCCTGGCATATGGAGATAAAGACAATATAAACACAAACATATAAGACTTAAAATGCCATGAAGAAAAATAAATCGAAATAAGGGAATAGAATATGAAGGAGGTGAGTAGGGTTGGGTGCTATTTTAGATAGAATAACAAGGGAAGGCCTCAGTGAAGAGGTGACATATGAGCTGAGACCTGAAGGGAACAGGGGCGTGTTCCAGGCAGAAGAACACCCTTCCTGTGCAAACACCCTGAAAGAAGTGTATGTGGTATGTCTTGGGAAGAACAGGGAAGTGTATGGCTGGGACAGAACATGGGGAGAATAATGGGAGATAATGTCAGAAGCTATTGTGGGGTGTCTATTCAGGGCCTGGTAGGTCATGCTAAAATCTTTGGACTTTTAAGAAAGCCATTAAGAGTTGTGTAGCAGTGGGGGAGAAATGATTTAGATTGTAGATAGCTTACTCTGGCTGCTTACTCGGTCTGCCCACAGACTGAGAGTTGGCAGAGGATTAGGAGGGCTATTGTAATGGTCCAGGGAAGAGGTGATGGTGGCTTGAACCATGGAGGTAGTGGGAGAAGCAGTGAGAAGTTGATTCTGCTTATATTTTAAAGGTTGAGTCAATAAGACTTACTGTTGGATTATAGAGGGTAAAAGAAAAGGAGAACTTGGCCTGAGCAACTGAGTAAATGGTGATTGTATTTACTGAAATGGGGACGATTGTGGGAAGAATAAGTTAGAAAGAATGGAACCAAGAGTTCAGTTTGGGATGTGCTCGTTTCAGTGCCTTTTAGGCATCCATGTGAGAATACTGAGAAAGCAGCTGGATGTTAAAGTCTGGAGTTTAAAGGAGAGTTCAGACTAGAGAGGCAATCAACAGGAATCAACAGAGAAGAGATGATTTGTAAAGTCATTAAGCTATGGATGCAAGTTCCAAGGAAGGGAGAATAGGTAGAGGTCTGACATCTAGGCCCTGGGGGCTCCAATGTTGAGAGGTCAAGGGGACGATAAATAAAAGCAAAGACGGAAGGGCAGCCGGTGATGTGGAGGAGAACCCGAAATGTATGGTGTCCAGGAAGCCAAGAGACGTGGGTTTCAATGAAAAGAAAATAGCCAGCCGTGCCAAATGCTGCCGATGGGTCAAGGCAGATGAGAATGGAGAAGTGACCATTGTATTCAGTGACTTGAAGGCTACTGAGGACCTCGACAAGAGCCGTTTCAGTGGCAGGATGGGGGCAAAATCTGATTGGAACATGTTCTAGAGCTTAAGGGAGGAAACGATGCACCAAACACATTAGGCCATGCAATCTTGTGATGGCAAGTTTAGCAGAACTGGAATGTGGACAAAACCTGTGTATTGGTCCCAAGGGCAAACCATGTTTTAGTTTCAAACACCTGGCCAGTGAGTTTCACAGATTATCTAGAAGGAAATGAAGTAATCTGGTAACGAACTGTCATTAGACATCATCTACGTGTCCATGTTGAATAGATATTAGTGCAGAATCAAATTATATATCTAGAATTGACAGACATAATACAATTGCTACCTTGTTTTGTTCTTTATTCTCCTTATACATCACATCTCCTTACGTATCACACAGAATTCTCATGGAATTCATCAAGAAAAGCTACTCCCATCAGCCCTACAGGAAGCCATCCTTTCACTTAAGTATCTTTGAAGATACGATATGAAAACTGAAACAAAAATTAGTATTTCTACTTAATGGCTATAGACTTTTATTGTCATAATCTCTCCCAACAACCAAAAACTACACATATCCTAATATATTACACCCAGCGTTACCACCATTTGCAAAGTAGGAAACCCAGCCACAAAAAGGGATTACACAGTGTATGATGGGCAAAGGACGATCTGAATTCATGAGTTTCGATGCTGCTCATTCTGGGCAGGTGGCTCCTACGAATTTTACTGTTATTATTACATCCCCTCCTCCCCCTGATCTTGAGTGTTTCTACTTCCTTGGGTTTTTATTCTCTCTCCCCAGTGCAAACCCTGGACTCACCAGCACCTGGTTGTCACAGTGACATCATTTGTGCCCCAAAGGGAGGCCTGCTTGCGTCAGGAGATACAGGCAAGGCCTCCCTTGAGGGCTGTGGCACGTCACAACCCACTTCACTGGCTCTTCTCTCTAGAGCAAATTTCTCTCCAAGTCATCCGTCCAACTAAAACCTGAGCCTGAGAACATCCCAGGCTCAGAACCTGCAACTGCCCAGGAAAAACTGAAAATGCTCCAAGAAGCCAATATGGCCCAGTTGGCCATATTGAGAACCAAGCTCGCAAGCCTTACCCCTGATTGGATCCTGGCCCTGCTATAAGAAACCTCCAGAAAGTCCCTTTCTCAGTGTGGTACCCTATAAGCACAGAGCTGTATGCATATAGTTTGTGGATACAGATGAGGATGAGTCAGGAGAGCTGTTTGAGCTTGACGCGGACAGGCTAGATGGACACAGAGGAGGACATCATTAGGCAGCCTCTGCGGGAGAGCTGGAGCTACAGAGCAGAAAAATTGGGAACTGACACAACAATTGTGCCTGGATGCCCATGTGGCTCTGCCCAGGCCAGCTCACACATCCTTGCAGGGGAGGCAGAGAGAAAGGTGGAGAGTGCTATAGACTTTCCCTTGTCTCTAAAAACGGTTAATCACACATAGTTAGAGACCAAGTGGATCATGCTAAACTCCAGGTCCAGGGTCCCAGACTCGCTGTCAGGGTGAAGGAAGGCATGCTCTGGAGTCTCTGTCCCATGGTGATTAGCGTGCTATGAGTAAAATGCGGAAGGAAAACCACAGTAACTTCTAACAGTCCCTTTAAACTTGCAGAGTCTAGAACCTTCTAATGAAGCTCTTAACAAATCCACTTTCTCCCTTAGAGCTACACCTCGTCCTCTACACCAGCTAGCCAAGACTGCAACTAGGGCAGGGAGGGTCTGCAGCTCCTTCTCAGTGGACAGTACCTTACTTCAGGGGCCCCGGATGTAACTCCAGGTATGTCCGTCTGACCCCAAACCTTTATAGCAGAAAGCAACAACTCACAGGGACAATCCCACCGGATAGATCACAGCACACAAGTGGCCAGTTCGGCTCCCTAGGGATCACATTTGACAATGGGTCAGTTAGTTTAAGTATTGCACTAGACTATAAAGGAACCCAACTATGAAAACCATTTGCAATGCCAGAGCATGGCAAGACGTTTGAGACTCGTGGCTCTCGCTGAGGTCACAGCTCCTCAGAAAGCAGCTGGACCTGTGACAGGCAAAAAGATGGCAGCCGTAGCCAACTTAGAGGCATTGACGGTACAGGGTGGACCCGAGTGGGAGAGAATGGAATTCTACGATGACCTGTTTGAATTTCTGGCAAGTCATTTCAACTACCCAGGTCTTCCATTAGTGCGATGGGAGCCGTGAGGGATGGAAAAAGTAATCCTCAGGTGAAACAAAGAAAAGTACTTTTTTTGTCGGAAAGACATGATTGACTTCCTTTGCACACCTTGTAGTGGGTCATTTTATAACTGTCCACAGAGAAAACAATCATTTGCAAAGGCTGGAAAATCCAGGACCAAGGGTTTAAAAACATTCCGGTATTGTGCCTTGGGCTCCCCCTGTGAGTAGGGAAACTGCGAGGAGCCAGCGGGGGTAAGGCAGCCCTCAGAAGACAGTAACAGTCCCTTCCCTGGATGTGTGAGAAAACCAGGCAGGTCTGGCTGCTGGCAGCCAGGAGGGACTCATGCATACCCACACTGTTCCTGCTTCCCTGCTTTCTAGAAAGGTGGGAAACCCCTGTTCTCCAGAAGGAGGAAGCCTCTTTTTAATTACCCTCCAGGAGCGGAGAGAGAAATCTCCAGCTGCTAGCTGGGGCTGAGTCCATCGAGACTGCACAACTGCATGAGGCAAGCTGGAGGGGAAGGAGCCTGGGATCTGCCTATGAGGAGCCTGGGCCTCACGGAGATCATGGGAATAGCTACACACTGCAGGGAAGAGTGAAGGCGAACATACAGGTACTGGCAGAATCGGCCGCTTGAGATGCCCTTGCAAATCATCCCTAAAGGCTCCCAGAGAAGCAATCTCACACTGCAGCTCCCAACCCTTCTCCATGTCCTCCAGCAGCAAATTCAAGGGTTCTCCCTTGCACCCAAGCAAAATCCTACATCCCTCTCAAAGAACAATACAGTATTATGATGTAATAAAAACAAATATGTTGCACATATTCAGAGGTTTGGGCTCTTTCCTCCTTAGGATACCTTTTCGGCCCCACCCATATACCACTGAAACTGGGGGGAACGCAGCACTGTAGTGAGAATTCCTCTCGCCATACACAAGAAGCTGTGTCAACCCAGCTGAAGAGAGTTGACTGAGTTTTAGTCCTTTGACAAACATTTATGGACATTGGAACCAGTCTCCTCACCTTGCTGGGTATCAGTTTCACAAGCCACACGAATGGAAAAAAGCTTGGTCTCTCACTCATGGCTTCCCTTATCCCCCATTACTGCATAGTAAATTTCCCTAACCATGACCTTGGCAGAGGAAAACAAGGACACCAGGACTGGCCAGCAAAGCCAAGGAAAAGCCACAAGAAAGGGGCCTCTCATCTTTCATAGACATTCATCCACCCTTGCCGAGGAGCATCCTCGTGACACCAACTTCGGGAATTATACACCAAGATGCATCTCCATCCTGGTGGGTCTCTCCCTGCCTCCCAGATTCTACCCAGTTATGGTATGTATTGGGAATAATTCTATTGGCGCAAGCAAAACATGTCCTGAGAGGAAAATCTTTTGTTAACAGGTTTTGTTGTTAATAATAATATAATATCATTGCAAAGACAAATACACAAATATTTCGGATAATCTACAATTTGTTTCTCTCTGCCTCTGTGCAGATAACAGAGGGCTGGCTGATTTCTCCCATGAGTTGCAATGTGTTCCTGGTCTCTGGAATGTTCCTATAAAGTGCTCTACCTTGACAGGCTGGGTCACCGCCCACCCAGCAGGAAGTTTCTTAGGTGGGCAGTGGTGGTGATCACTCTTTAAAGGGGAGGAATGTGAAATTAGAGAGTAGGAGGACAGAAAATGATTGGGGTGAGCAAGGTGAGATGTGGGGAGAAACGCTTCCTTCTTTTCCTTTAAATCTGATCCGGGACTTTTCAGGAAATTAAACACCGAGACTATTAGTATCAGATAGAAAACAGATGAGGTTAAGACATCGCAATACTACAGCAGATTCCCTGGGCAGGCAGAGAGCGGACATGTGCAAGCAATCACAGCAGTATTTCTGGAAAAGACCTTTTATGTTTTTAATACTTAACACTTCATAACAGGGACTAATAGGCAGGATAAAAAGAAGGCTGCTCAAAAGGCAACTTGGGGGATGAATGATTTTCCAGACAACAGAGTTGGGGGGAGGGGAATTTCTGGGGCTTCAATTCCTCACCCCTCCCGGCCTTGCTCACCCTCCTCGGCTTGCCAGAGTGGCTGAAAGCTGGGGGAAGCTGGGCGAGAGGATGGCATGAGGGGCTTGACAACCAGATGGGGCAGTCGCCTCTAAGGAAGCTGGGTGATCCTTACAGCGCCATGCCATGATTGAGAAGGGCAATACACCCACATTCCCAGAGTATCCCCAAACAGGAGGAGGGCTAGGGGAGAGCTGTCCAATTAGGAGCTCTGACTGGCATAGAAAAGATCCTTCCAAAGGGATTCCTTTCCCTCCCCCTATGATAACTTCTAATTCTAGCTGCCTGAATATTCAGCACGAACAAGCCTTCTCCTATAGATTTCTCTCCTGTAATTTGGGAATGACTATATCCCAAATGACTTGTCTGCTTAGAGGATAATAACTTAAAGATGATTCCTCCCCCCTCCCCACCCAAAGATAACGGCATGGATAATAACACATTTTTAGCTGAGACGCTGGATTCAAGAGTCCGAGTGGTTCCAAGCCCCATCTCTGTGTATTGTGGCAGTGCTATTGACAAGGTGCTCGATCTTTCTGTGTCTCAGTTTTCGCATATATAAATTAAGGAATCTGGACTTTCAGTGTTTCTCAAGTTAGGTGGTCTTGTCATCAGGGGGTGGGATAATACTTTTGTGTGGGACTGCTGGGTATAGTTCAGGAATGGTTAGCATTGCCGGTCCACCAGGCAATAAATACCATCATCACCACCCATATACACGGTCATGCCGATGACCAAAAATGGCCCTCCCATTTTCAAGTGCCTGGAGGGTAGGGAACTGTGGAGGAACTGCCGAAAAACTTATAAGCAGGTAAACTGAACATTTAGGGCACTTCTAGCTCGTTCCACACCCATCCATGGCGTTCTTCACTCAAAGCGCTCAGTGCAGCACAAGGGTGACTTACCTTTCTGTCATTCATGTCATCCCCTGGACTATCATATTCACCCTGTAGGAGAGAAAGGGATGCTGGGTAAAGCCAATGGAATTATCAAAAACAGAGAAAAGATTTTCTTTTTTATTTTCTAACGTCATCCCTCTCCTTCATTCTCATTTGAGGAAGGTCAAACACATGACATGGTGAGGAGCCAATGTTCCACTTCCTTAGTCATCAACACGTGCAGTGTTTCCTGTGGACGGTTTCTCACACAAAGACACGCCCCTCAGATGCTCCAGAGATCGGCGTCTGCTTCCTTGTAGCAGGCACGACAGCAGAGCCCGTGTCCGTAAATGAGCTAGCATATCACATGAAATCCCCCTACGTCATGTCTTGCTCACCCCTGTCCATAACTGGCAGAATCTAACCTCATATATGACCACAGCAAAGATGTCAGTGAGGAAAGAACTGTCATCTGGGAGATTCCTTTGGGCACTCAGGGATCCCTGCCTCAGTAGCCTCATTTGGCACAATTCTGTGATAAATGCTAAAGGAGTGACCAATCAAACAGGCAGTGCAGTGTGGGGGCACTTAGTTCATGGGCCAATTAAGTCCTTCATGAATCGTCCTGAAGAATGTCACTGAGCTGTATTATAAGATGTTTATAACATTACTCTCAGTCAAGGAAAACTTTAATTATCATTTTCTTTGCTTAACCAAACAATAGTATAAGGAATTCTGAGTGATTTCCTTCAAAAATGTTTAAATTAAAAAAATAATCTGACGAGATATATATATATATATATATAAAAAATGAGGAATTTCACATCCACACAGAACCATCCCATACGAAACATCACTTTCAATCATTTTAGGGTCTGACAGTCCAGGCTGCATATTATCCAGGCCACAGACCTTCCTTCCACCGCCATCTACCCACCTTCACCCACATGTCCTCCCCTTAACCTCTGCAGGACATATCTGTCTTCTAACACGTTCCCCCCAAACAAAGACATGGGGTGAAGGGAAAGCTCAAACAAAGCCAGTTCATTTAGCCACTGGAGAAATAACCAGAGACACAGCATGAAACAACTGACAAAAATCAAACCGGGCCTACTGTCAGTCATGAGTGGTTTAGAACCAGCCAAGGTTTTTAACGGCATGATTCACTCCAGCCTTGCCTCGCACATATCCACCCATTGCGTTGCCTGTGGTTTTCATCTTTTTGAAGACTACGTGGAACGTGCTGACAAGAATAGTACTTACATCATGAAGAGGGTAGGCAGCCTCATAGATATTGTTTGCTATCAGAGAGTTAATACCTATGGAAACAAGAAAGAAGAAAATAATAACTCTAGGGCAGAGATTTCTTGACTTAAACTTCATCTTTTGATACATGTTATCAAACATGTTTTTATTGAGCTTTAGTTCTTGGTATAAGAGCACTATTTTTTCATTTCCCAAATACAAAGTTATGTTTTACTATCAGATATGCTCAAACTTCATATTCCTCTGGTCCTCATATAACCAGACCCCTCCGGTCCAATAACACTCCTCCACCACCACCATCTCCATGGCCACCACTGTAAGCTGAGAAGATCTGTGTTTAGTGACAGCATAAGAATGGCTAGTGGTCTACGGCCGTGCCACCCTGAACAAGCCCGATCCCGTCTGATCTCGGAAGCTAAGCAAGGTTGGGCCTGGTTAGTACTTGGATGGGAGACCACCTAGGAAGACCAGGTGCTGTAGGTGTAAAAAATAAAAAAATAAGGGATTATAAGCTGACAAGGTCCTTGCAATCTGTGAGGTCAACCAAGGATTGCCTGGCCTAAAAAAAAAAATAAAAATGGCTACTGGATTACTGTCATTATGACCAATAAAAGTATACATCAAAATATCCCACAGCACTTTATCTGAACTCATTTCTGGCACCTTCTTGTTCCTGCACAGAGTCGTGCCTATTGCTGTCCATGACTGATCTGTGGACCATGAGCTCCCTGAGGGAGGGGGCAGTAGGGCGGCCATTCTCAAACTGTGTTCTGGGGAACCCTGGGAGTGTCCATGACCCTTTCAGGGGGGTTCATGAGGTCAAAACTATTTTTATAATAGTGATAAGATATTATTTGCTTTTTCACTCCTGTTCTCTCACAAGTGTACAGTGCAGTTTTGTGACATGGGATGACATCATCCCCTGACAGCTAATGGAATGTGTACATGTATATTCTTGTGCTTTAAGAGTTTCTCAGTCTTACCTTCTAACACAATAAATATTGATCTATATTACCCACCTAAACAAAAGCTCTCTGGGGGCTCTCGATAACTGTTAAAAGTATAAAGTCGTCCTGAGATCACAGAGTTTGAAAACCATACAACAAGGGATTCATATTTTAATGCCAGCAGTATTTCACAGCACTTGCACACAGAGACCCTATTAAATATATGTTAAATGAATGAATGACTCTGTCCCTACTACTCCAATATACTCACAACAGAGAACCTTCTGCTCAGCATGGAGGCACTGTTCTTTACTTGTTTCATTCATAGTTTTATTCAGAGACTATAAAGTGGTCTGTATGTTCTGTCTGACTCAGGACAGTCTGTCCTCGGTCTCCGGATCCCAGATGGAATGGATTATTTCTCACCAACAGGCAGTGCTAAGGATTCTGCCATGACAGGAGGCACATTTAATCATGGAGGTGGGGAGGAGGGTCAGGTCTCCAGTTCTCAGTGATTTCCCTTGTCTCAAACACACTTTCTGCCCTGAACCGTTCTTTCCAGAGAGACCACAGACAGTGGAGAGATGCGGAGAAAATTGGTTTTGAAGGGAAACACAGAAGTTGTCCAAACTCTAAGTAACTGCATTTTCGGGGCTCAGGATAAATTATAAGTTTGGATAACAAATCTAGACAAGAGTGACTCATTAAAATTCATGGTTTTCCACCTCCCCTTCCTACCCAATGCCCCACCCACATGCTCAGAGACCGCAGGAGATCTCAAACAATCCTCTCTCCTCTGTCAACCTCCTCTTCCTCAAACCTCGCCCCTATTTGCCGCAGTTCTAGGACACTGAATACCAGAAAGACATGCCACAGGCCCACGTGGGAGCAGAAGCCATTGGGAGGCCGCAGGGGGCCTCAGCAGAAGTGGCCATCTTCCAATGACTTGAGAGCTGCACCGTCACCAAAGGGCCAGTCCTTTCCTGATTTTAAGCTTCCTCTTTGGCATGAACTTAAAACATCAGAAATAACTCTGGGGAGTGGGGAGGACCAGAGGGTGCATAAAGGGAGTGCGGGTGGGGGGAGGGATGCCCCAAGGCTCAATGAGCTGCAGATTTGTCCAACTCACAAGACTATAATTTCACTCTGAGCATCATTAATCAGTTCAAGAGCCATAACCACAGCAATGTGAAGCCATTCTCCAATAATTAAGGGGAGGAGTCCCACGTCTGAACGGGGTTGGGGTCGTTCAGAGCCACACAAAGGCTGTCGACTTAGATACAGGCTGAAGCATCACAGGCCTGCAGGGCTCCCACTAGACTGCACTCCAGGTACTACCCCACCCAGTACCCTACACTCACGTCCCGTGGTTGCCATGGCAGTAGTATACACCCTGAAGACAGTCCCAAAACTGCATGGAAAAAATTAACAGGTGTTGAACTCTTCTGCTAATTCTCAGCTTTGCTCAGCACAAGTAACCCAGTGTCTGCAAGCATTAGGCTGACAATCTGAACTCCTGGGCCCTACTGCCAGATTCTCAAAAAGATTTCGAATCATCGGAGGCCTAAAGTTGTACACTCCACCTGTCATCTCAAATAAAGCTTCCTTTATGCCACATGCCTGAAGCTGGTAGCTGACTTCACTTCTAAGACTTTGCTCATTGTTGTGTTTCCCCTGAAAGTCTAAAAGGCCCCTGAGGTCAGACAGCACTCCCCTCTCACCGGGTTCTTATGGCACCTAGGTCACTGCTGGGAACACAGAGGGTAATGGCTGGTAAGAGTAACCACTCTTGCTAAACTTATCTCAGCGTCTCTTCCCATTTATCACAGGCACCCACTTTCCTCATTAATTCAGTTTTCTTTGGCAACCTATGCTGATGAAGAGACTTTAAACTCCAGTTCATTAGTCTACTTCCTAAGAAAGGAAGCTCAACAAATGGTTCTTTGCCTCGGAGCCAACACGATTCATGTCATCCTAACCCAGATAACCAGAGCCCCCACATACTGTCATGGAATGTGTCTCTGTCCCCCACGGCTGTGGAACTCCTGTTTTTCAGATGGTGTCGTATGGGAGATCCCAATCAGTGGCTGTTGGGCAGAGGGAGGGAATAGGACATAAAAGGAGAAGGAATGGGGACAGGGAGGCAAGTTGAAAAGTAACTATGCATCCACAACTTCACTCAATTGTTTTGGCCTCTCCAGTCACTCACAGACTTCAGAAACCAAGATTCTACCCCCAAACAAGCATGGAAATCAGTTTGAAAGAAGAAGAAAATAATCAAATGTTTTTTAAAAAGAGTCTCTGCTTTGAAAACTGAAATTCTGAGTTTTTTCCTTTCTTTTCAGCAAAAAATGGGCTAATTGGTTCCATCACGCACCATCCATCTGGCTATAACGGCAAAGCTTTCTTCTTCAGGATCACATCTATATATTCCTTCCTCTCTGCTCTAGACCCAGGGAGACAGAGCCCAACATCTCGTCCTATTAATCCCGGAAGGGGGGCCAGGAAAAATGAGAAAGCACAGAGGACATTTTTCTTTCC